CCTTCTAGATACTGTCACATCACAAACCATCTTGAACAATGTAATCGGTCCTGCTTGTTTAAAACTGAGGGAGGTAACAAAGCTTTATTTTTTTACCAGCGCCTCATTTTTGATGCCCCTAAAAATTGTAGCAGAATGTGTGTGCATTACTGGATAACATGACAACATGGCAACAGGTGTGATTCGGTTTGTTGATGTCTTGGCAATAACCAAGTTGTGTGTTTATATTTTAACACCCTGAAATACACATTAACATTCAATAAGATATAACAAATAAAACAAGAGCATGATTATTCATTTGCAATGACTATATTTCCTTGTTTAACAAATTTTTACTGCATAAGGAATTTGAAATACTAGGTAGGCCTATTGTGATATTGGACTGCATGCCTTGATCCACACTTCAAACACTTTTCTACCGACCATACAGGTTTGGGGAAAGGAACACATCTAATCCCAGCGATACTTAATATATATCGGGATTTAGAATATTGCACAAACCATAAACACCCGTGAAGATCTGGGGTGTATGTCATTGTATCCAAATTGCGTGGATCAATACTCATGATGTGAATCACTGGATTGTCTGGTCCAGACTCGATTATTTAGACCGCCGTAATATAGCTGGAATATTGCTGAGAGTGGCGTTAAACAACATACAAACAAACAAACAAATCATTAATCATTGCCATAAATCATGTGGAACTTCTTATTACAGATGTGGACACCATAACTATGTTGACAGAACTATAAAAAAAGTTTTACTTATTAATCTATAAGTACAAGTTATGACCAATATAGATCAGCTTCCAAAAAACAAGTATCAGAAAACAGAGTACCGGGTACTGTTAGCAGAGGACCACAGGTATGATGATCTCAATTTCCACATTTCCAACAGCACAGATCTGACAAATTATGAAATTTAATTGAATAGTAAATAATAGCTCATTCCTAACCAGTCTAGTGAGTTTTTTTCATCATCAAAATTATTTATCTATCTCATAGTGTAATCACCTCACACTTTCTAACTTATCAGGTAACCGTTTTGATATTAATCTCTTGATATAAATGGAAAATCAAATCATATTTTGAACCAGTTGATTTTTGTAGTATTTCTAGAATTTCTAGTACTAATAAGGTGTTGTATTTTGTTCTTTCTGGGGAAGGGGCTTGATGGTTATTGAGTTTGTAAACTGATTGTTGCTTATTTTCAATATGAATGTACCGGTATATGAAATAACAAATCTGTTCATGTCAGGACATGTGTCATGATTTCCATGAGTGATTACTTTTAGGATGATTGTATCAAGAAATGTATGTAAAGGAAGTAATCAAACATGATAATTAAATATTATGACATGATTTTGTATCTGTTTTTGGTATCATGACGATGTTCGCATTTACACACATCCCAACAGTTTCAGTAATTATAATCCTTTTTGAAGGGAACATTGTGGAAAAATGCACTCATAGCTGCTGAATGGACTGGAGCAGTTTTCTCCTTGAAAATTTAAACGTCTGAGAAGCTGTTTCTGAAAATCCGAAAATTGCTTGCTTGGATGGTTTTGGTTTAGAGACTTCCAACATTGGTCTGCAGTCCCTATCACAACAAGTACCATCAAGTTGAAAATGGGACACTGCCTTGTCAATCACGTTCTTGTCCTTTGTTTGACCAATTATGCAATACACATGTAGATTTCAATTAAGAAAAATTAAGTCCTCTCAAATGTTCAAGTTTAGATTGTCTTACTTGATCATCCAGTTATTTACACTGTCACAAACTGAGGGCGTTTTTCCGACATGATTTCTGTTTACCGCCATACTAAACTCAACACAAAAGTAGGCTAGGGTAGAAAATAGGTCACAGCCTTGCTTTCGATTTGGGAATTCCCTTTTCGTGAGAGACACGAATACGGGCTGTATATATATTGTAAATATTTCAATAGCAATGCTGACAGCAACTGTTTTTTGTTGGCTGTCGTTGTTGACATTAATTTTGATTACATGTATTAGTAACTGCTTCATATAAAGTTCAATAAAATAACTTGACCTTTCCATACATATTTATTAAGACTTTAAGGTCCTGATTTACAATTTGCATGTACATGTTCATTCATTGATGTTTTCGGGTTCGGTGGGGGCATGATACACACGCACATATTTTTAATGTCAATATCAGAAAATGATTATTTAGCTAACACTTGTAATCACCACAGGTTCATGAACAACTTCAGAAATCCACCATCACATTTATCGTGTCGGCCATTTTGACATTTTGTTCTTGATGTAAATGTATTACAACACACTAGCTGTCATTGTGATTGACTTACTGAGGTAGTTCTTAACAGACTTTCTGATCTAATGATGATATGATTCTAATATATTTGTTGTAAACAAACTACAGAAAATGTCACTGTATAACAATGTTAGCATACATGTATGCTCATGTCACCTCTCCTTTTAAGGAACTACTTCATTCCGCGATACAGCTTTTTGTTGTGTTGATATCAGTGTAAACAAAAAGTCACACATTCAATAAAATTGATGAAAATCAACATCTACACGCCGTGGGTATACTGCAAACAGGAATGGCATGAAAAGAAATTGTCCGAAATGTTGATCAAAACACAATACAGTCTCTTTTGGAGACGTTAACTACATCAGAGCAACACGCATGACTAGCCATGGGCTGGTCCTCAGCATCTTTGGTGCATCTACAGAATCGATACCAAACTGCCAAATTAACAGCTCGGACAATTTCTTGATTGAGACCAATAAGTGGAGGGAGCACAACATCTATCCCCGTAATCCAGCGATACCCCCAATTTTGCTTCCACATCACTGCCATGCATACATTGTTGTAGAAATCATCGGAGGTCAGAAGATAAAACTGAGATAGTATACAGTTCACTGATGACTCCAGTTTTCATCTTGATAGCTCTGAATGGTCGTACACGGGTCTACAGGCATCCAGGAGAATGTTTGAACATTGTTAATTGCATACGCTACCGGGACGAAATCGTTTTGAGATCATGTTCTACCCTTTCTGCAAATGCAGGGTTGTAACGTCACGCTGCAGCAGGATAATGCCCAACTCCACATTGCATGTGTTGAAACAGACTTTTTCAGCAGCATAACATTTTTGTACAGCTATGGCCAGATGTTTCTCCATACCTCTTCCCCCATGGTCTAGGATAAGCTTGAACGACAGGACCAGAATCCTCTGGTAACACTGGCTCAGTTGGGCGATTTGGAACAACATCCCCTAGGCTGTTTTCAATCTAAAGTCTCACCTGTCAATGCAAATAGGGGTCATGCTTTGTTTAATGTGTTCTGACCACACCCTTCTTTTATCACATGTAACGTGTCCCCAGATACAGGTTTTGTCAATGAGTTAGTCATAATAAAACATTGATCAGATGAATGACCAATTATTGTGTTGTTATTTTCTAAAACATAACACTTACACTGCATATTTTAAGCACAGTTACCTTTTTTCAATTAGTATATATATCCATGTGAGGGACAGTGCTGTTTTTAAGCCAGACTACAACTTTTTAATCATCACCTATCTGTTTATCTTGTGTTACTGCATTTTCAACATCTCTGACATCTTCCCAAGGCAAAGGCGTTAACTTACTATCAAAGTCCAGTCTCCACCCTTGCTGAACTAGGCTGGAATTAGCCCCACCAGTGGCTATTATGAGTTATGTCCCTTTCATGTCCCTCCTCTTGAGTAAGAGGTGACTAATGGGATCGGGTTGCCAGGCTCGCTGACTAGGTTGATGCATGTCATCGATTCCAATTGCTCGGGTTGATGCTCAAAATGTCAATCACTGGATTGTCTGGTCTTGACTCGATTATTTACAGACCGCTGTCATATAGCTGGAATATTGCTGATTTCATGGTGTTGGTAACAAACCAACCAATCAAACCTCCTCTTGACCAATAAGATTCCATCTCTCATATCGCTTACATTTGCTTCAAACAAAAAGGTGGCACCCAGTCAAGATGATCTGATTGATAATCAAGATCTATATTGTAATAAAACAAGTCTTACCTTGCAAAGTGCATCAGATCACTTGAGCACCTGGATTAAAAACATGAAAAAGTGTTGCAAAATATCTAGTTTGTTACAATTTTGATTGGACTATGCATAGACTCGTTAGTCGGGCCAAAATGTTACTTCGGAATTCCAGCCTAGTTTGGCAAGGGTGGAAAATGGACTTTTATAGTAAGTTAATTCCCTTGCCTCGAGAAGGTGCATCTCTGAAAGTACAAGCCCTATATATGTTGATGAAATTTTGCATGCCTGATCACAACTATGGTGCCTCCAACAATAACTCACAGAAATTTGATTTAAATTGAGCAGGGCTGTCAGATGAGCTATTTTTGCATGTATCATGAAATTTGACATGCAGATTTTTTTACCCAGCTACAACCTTTTATCTACTTACATGTTTATCAAGTGTTACTGTATTTTCAATATCTTTGATTATATTCATTTTGTTTATTCTTCTTATCCTTGTATTTCTAACCTGTATCTAAGTTAATATTTGAGAAAATACAGGTGAGCTATGGAAGCTTGTGGCTCTATCCTTTGCTAATCTGTTCAATTTTCACTCATTTAAATGAAAGGTGTGAACTCTAATAATCATAAACCTTAATGACATTGACATATTTAGTAATATTTACAGTATTCCCTATTTGCACTTTGTAAAATTATGGTCAAGAAATAGCCCTTATGCACAAAACACTCTTGTTCATCCCAAGCACGCAGACCATTTAGCATTTAAAATGTAGATTCATTCTGTTCATACTTGGTGCCAAAATGTGTTTATTTCTGTATATATTACATTGACCTTGAGTGAAAACAAAAAATATAGAAAACACTTACAATCATCCGTCATTAATGTACCGATTACCTCTTTTCTGGGTGACAAGTGACCTGAAACACCATTACAAAGTTGTGCTTATTTAATGTTGTGTTTTTCTTTCAGCAAAGATGATGTTGATGTCATCTTCCATGTCATAATATCAAGCGAGTTTGATTTTGATCCAAAGTCAGACCAGGTCAGTGTGGCATTTCAACCAACAGAACTTAGAGGATTTGAAAATGGATGGATTATGAAACTTGTCAGGTATGCTTTCAATATTTAATTTCTTACCCAAATATGTAAGTTGATAGAGATACTTTTGCATGTATGTGTCTCTTTATGATGACATGTTTTGTTCAAATCATTAATTTTTAGTGTTTTTTTTTTAAGTCTTCAATATCTAAAAAGAAAATATTTTTAAAAAAAATGCTGACAGCAAGTTTTTTTAAGTGACTGTCTTTGTTGATATTTTAGACTTCATATCCAGGTGAGCTGTATCCCTGTGAAGATTTTGATTCAGGATAGATCCGTAATACCCAATGCTTGCCATAATATCAAACTAATAATTTGCTGATTTTCAGCATGTTCATACAATGTGTAACATTATTCATGCTATCAACAACTTGTTAGATGGCCCTAAAATGTCTTGAGTTTTGCTGACTGCAGGATAAAATAAGCAGCTAACAAATACCTAACAAATAACAGCCAGCAAGGTATTGAGGTCATTTAGAAAACAGAATTAAAAACAAGTAGCCCTCTGTTTGGTGATGAATTAGGTTGCTAGTGTGACCAAATCCTGTGTTTGGCTATCATGATTGATCATGAAGTTCTCATTCGTGTCAATACTGTAATTATTTCACTTAACTTACACCAGTTTCTAGTCTTTAGGCTTACCCAATAAAACAAAGTGCTTTGATGTTGTGACAAAGTAGGAGTGCAAAGTCACTCCAAAATAACTGTAACATCACTCTGAAGTCTGGCTTTCTCAACCAGCATGTGCTTTGGACATATGTTCAAGACCTTATATACCTTTTAAATACCCCTGAGTAATTTTTCTGACATGTGATCGAGGGGCATTGTAAATGTTTGTATACTGGGTAAGTTTTTATGATGGGAATTTGAAAGACTTTTTAAATACATGACATTTAGGTTTGTTTTAGATATGATTAGAATGTGTGTGACTTCTGTAGGCCCTATGGTCCCTACTTGATACAACTGTCATGGAAAGGTCACAGGAGGTCACATCAAGTAAAAATTGATTTTAACTTCAGGATAATAGGTTATGGAATTTAGTTTTCAGTCAGTGAAGAAAAACTATAAATAAGTAACTCAACAACTGTCATATGTCATGGTTGTGTCTATATAAGCCATGGTCTCCGTCAAGGTGATTCACTCATGAAACGGTTACATTCAGAAAGCATCCCACGGTGGGGGACACCAGAAATGGTCTTCACACATTGTATCCTTGTCGGGAAGTTAACCTGGGTCTTCAGTGTGACGAGCGAAGGCTTTAACCAATAGGCTTCCCGACCGCCCCTCTGGAACAAAGAGATAGATATCAACCATATTTGGTTGGAAGCATTATCCAGTGATGAGAATTCAAAATTGTACAAATTGAGAGGCTGACCCCCAAGGGGCTGAGGTGTGAGGCCAAATAGGGGTAATTTGACGTTATTGCTTTAAATGACTTCTTCACTGGAATTACAAGATAGATATCAACCATATTTGGTTGGAAGCATTATCCAGTGGTGAGAATTCAAAATTGTACAAATTGAGAGGCTGACCCCCAAGGGGCTGAGGAGCGGGGCCAAATAGGAGTAATTTGGTGTTATTGTTTTAAATGACTTCTTCTCTGGATAGTTATGAACCATATTTGGTTGGAAGCATTCTCCAATGGTGGGGATTTAAATTAGAGAAATGGAGTAGCCCTCCAACCCCAACCCCACCCCCGGGGACTAAGGGGCGGGGCTAAAAAGAGTTTATAACTTGGACACAGTTAAGATCCCCCAACTTATGACCACATGTAATAATTGATGAGTATAATGAGAGGAATGCACATATGCTACAAGGACTGGCCCTTCTGTTCATCTGTCCAGCACTCCTAAAGGAGTTAGAACCTTGACCATAACATGCAAACCAATATTATCCCCACCCTATAATAAACAGATACATTGTATACATTTGTTTGTTATGAAGAGAATAATACCTTTAATATGATTTATCCTGGATCATAACATGGAAACGGTTGAGATCTTTATGTTACATTTGTATCTAGAGAAATACGTTCATGCTGTCAGATTTGCCATCCACACATTTTAAATGCTGACAGAGCCAAAATCATGAAATATTTGCAGTATAATATACATGTACAATGCAAATGTGTATTTTGTCATGATTGCGTAAATATCCAGGTGAGAGATACAGGCCCTATGGGCCTCTTGTTTGATATTGTTAAACCTCAAAAGTGAAGATGAAGACAATTCATGAACATAAATAATTGGACATCAGCAACGGAAAAGTAGTTAAAATATAATTTCCATGATAGCATTTCAGCATCCACACCAGTAACAATCGTGGAGCTACATTTTAGGATACCCATAGTATGTTCATTACCTTGATAACCAGAGTTTTGTTCTAACCGATATTAGTTTCTTTTCAAGAAAGACAAATATGTGCACATGATGAAGGACAGAAAAAAGTTTTAGGTTTTCTTTGAAAATCATTGTATCCAAGAATTTGACAATTTGGTAGACAAGACAGATAGGTGAACACCTCTGAGGATTTATAACATCAATTACAGGTGAACTTCCGGACTCAGTGTTCAAAATTAAGAGTAATATCCTTTAGGTTTGCTCCTGTTGTATTTGAATCTTGGGACCCCCAAAAATGTTTAACTTTCAACATTAAGACCCTTTTGAGTTCCATTATTAATTTCTTTTAACACTGTAAACCTGTGATACTCTGGTTTAGATTTCCACACCCTTGCCTTTATAAAACATAACCTTCAGCTTTAAAGTCAGAATATGACTGCTATCACAAATGTAATCCATGCAACTGGAGTATTCATAATGAATGTCAAGTGTGATGTTTTTCAGATGTGAGGATGAGATCAGAGAATATTCCTGCCAAGTTCATATGTCAAAGACACTACGCAATGCTGGCTTTGATTATAAGTATGGGGTAACATCTCAAGATAAGAAAGTCAGATGGGAAAAGCTGTATTTCCAAACTTCATACAAAAACAGGCGTTTCACCATGCCAGGTGAAATGAAACAATCCAAAGGTAAATTTTGCTGAAACTTACATGAACTATTGTATTGTATCTGTTGTCCTTTGCACTGCTATTCATTACCTTCTCATATCTCTTCTTTTTACAGCTCTGAATGCATTGGACCAGTGTAACCCCTTATTGTTTCACTTATTTCTCTAAAATTGCTATGAGCAGGTTTTCAGTATTGATACCACAGCTGCCGTATCAGAAATTCCTTTTTGGACAAATTACATGGCTTTTATATCATACCATACTTATATATAATCACTGTTCGTGTTGATGCAGGATCATGGGTGTAGCACTCATGACATTTACCAAACATGCATCAGAATTTCATTAGTAAACATTTACGTATACACAACAGATTATATGCAGACTTTTATACTGATAGTGTATGGTGGTATGTTATTAGGTTTAGTAGGCAGGTAAAGACAATAAATGAAAATAAGATCATTGTGTATTATATAGGGCAAGGTATGGATGGAACCAACAGGACAGGTTACACGCCATATGCACAATTGTAGCCCTCTGCCATGGCATGGCAAACGGGTATAGCCCAGGAACTTTGTACTCCCTCCTGCAGAAACAGCAGGCACGAAGATTTGGAAGCAGCAGCCATGGACCCAGTATTAGTTGTTATTGATTAGTTTATTAATAGTAGTGGGAAATTTAGTAGTGTTGAATGCCGAAAGTGATAGCAAACGTGAGCACGTTTTCGTAAGAGGAAAAGATGTAAGGCAGAGGAAATGACGTAGAACATCTGAAGTGACGTAAATACAGGTTGTTGCTGAACACGGAAGTGAAGTGATTACGCATGAGAGGTTTCGTTTTGACTGTTATAGGAGATAGAAAATAGAAGTACAGTGTTCCCTCGGTATTGGGCTCTTTAATATTGCGCTAACTCTGTTTTAGAGCGCAGTAAAGTATGGCTCCCAACATTTACTTACATTTTTAATAAACTCAAGTTTTCCAATGACACAATGTTTTCCCCCTATCTCAAAAACCTGATCACCACGATCACATAACACTAGAAATACCAGTCAACAAATCTGAACTTAAGTATGCAATTTAATATTATGATATTATGATATTTGGTTATAAACAAATTGTTCATTGTTTATCTGGACTAATGTTTGCAAAATATTGTATTAATTTTATTAAAAATTTCATTCAATAATTATAATAACGTTAACAATGATTTCGGTGAAATCGTGTGCGAAGTGATCAATAGGTCGCACAACTCACCATAATTTACAGCAACCATGGTCAGATTACCGCTGTTGACGCCTTGAACTTTAGTTGCAAGAGAATGGATACACATATCATAAATGCCATACCTTGACTCGTTCAAAGTCATATTTGAGGCAGTTTGACTATTTAATGTCAACATTATGTTTTCGCAATCAAAATACATGTAGCGAGAGAAGTCCCTACGGTGACTGGTCAAATTGTTCCATGCGTAAAAATATCCTGCATACCAGCTGTACCAAAGCGCAACGCTTATGGTTCTTATTATGTGAGTAATTAGTGCAAGAGAAAATAAATGCTGCTCATAAATCCATTTAACGAATTAATGCTAAATATTATTATAGGCAGACTTTTAAGTGCTAGCTTATAGCGTTTGTTGTGAGGTTTAATAGGAAGGTAGGAGGCTAGAGGAAGAGCTTTAGTTGCCTTATTCCCGCAGGGATGTTACTGTTGCCTTGTGTTGGTCCTCCATGCCTTTGTGGTTGAGGTGGACCTTGTCCATGTAATCTGCCGGCTTAGGGACGAAGAAAACAACGTGGCCGCTTATGTTGGCAATCCATCAATTTAATTTTTTTGGCTTTGTGTTGATGGCGTGGATGTTGTTGGCTCCACGCCATTCAAGCCGAGGAAACATGGCCAACTATATGATGGAGGCAGCTGGGCAGCGCAGGCAGCTGTAGAGCAAATCCTGGAAGATGGAGGCAGATAAGCCTTTAGAAGGGACCTGACACAGGTCGTTTGACCCCATTTGTATAATGATGAAGGACCTGCATGGGCCCCTCCAAGGTATAAGATAATCAACCCGACCCTTGAGTTGGTCCTATTTGAGACTGCCCTTGGCTGCCCATACAACTCACCCGCCAAGGCCAAGGTTACTGTGCTGAGGCCTAAGGTGGTTGTGCAGCCTGGCAGCATAACTGGACCCTACGATCCAGGCTGGCCCTGTAACCCCCAAAGCAGTCTGATGTAAGTATTATTTGAGCACTTGAGGTGTCGGATGTAAATTTTGTATGCAACTCATGTCCACTGCCCCAAATGCTGGATGTGCTGTAGTTGGAAACATTGTAAAGCAGCCATTGTCGCCGCTCCAAAAAGGAAGGAATGTGAAGAATAAATATTGAAATTATTATTGCCTTTTGTTGCAAGTAAGATCTTTTTCAGCACAGTCTGAATCTGAAATTTTGTTAAAGGGGAAGAGATTGCTTGCATGAATAAATATCCACTTGTTGCTGGCTGTACTGTCAGGAAAGATGTCAGGGCTTTGACTGGCCTAGTATGGACTGAGGAGCGGCCTGGATAGAGATTCGAGTGCTACAGCCTTGCTGATCTGTCTTTGATGTTCTTAGGCTACATCAATCTAAGAGAGATTACTGGCAAAGGACAGGGGATAGTGATAACAAAAATACCCTCTGTGTTGTATCTTTTGCTTAGTCTGCTACTACTTTGAGTACCCTGAACTAGCCAAAGAACTTTAACAGGTATGCTCTGGAGAAAAGTTAAACTTCATATGAATTGTTACATACCATGGGGAGGAGCTGCATGATGCACAGTAATAATTCCACTGTGATAGGTTGTCATGCATCAGTATGCTGAGAGAGCCTGGACATCCCGGCAATGGCCTTCTGCACAAGAAAATGGTTACACATGCTCTGCATAGAATTTAACCTTTGCACTGATGCCAAGGCTAACACATAGGCACACTGTACTCAGTGACCTACATGGCAAGGAGAGGTGTGCTATGAAATGGAGAATGTGATGTAAAGGTACAGGCCAGATGTCAGACAGGGAGTATGCCACACGGAATATTCTGTAGTGATTCACCACTGAATCATAGGTCCTCCACAGAGCTGGCCACCTATTTGCTAACTCTTGCGGTAAGATGGGCGAAATGTCTGGCATGATTGCAGTTGCCTGATCGTCCACTTGATGTCCTGCTGCCCCAAACCGGGACCACTGATATCTCGAAAGAGCGTCTGCAATTATGTTTGCCTGGGTGGCGATATAATGATCAAGGCTGCTGCACCAGATTTTTATGGCAAGCACTATAGAGAAAAGCTTCAATAATGTAATGTCCACCTCTGCTGTATACATTATTCTAGCCAACTGCCATTGTTCAGTGATCCTGAAAGTAGGCTCCGAAAACCGGGCTGCCCTGTGTGTCTGTATTGAGTTGGTTGAAGGTGTGGAGTGCTGACCCACTCCTGTTCCAGGAATAACGTGCCATTGTGATTGATAAGGAATTGTAGCCAGAGGTTGAGGTCACCCGCATGCCTGCTGATTTTTCGTATTCTATGATGAGATTTTCGTATCATGGAGACTGCTTGATCAAGACTGGTGTACTGCACTGTGCATACCTCTGGAGGTATGAAGTAATTGACCGACGAACCCTCTGGATAATTTAAATGATGGATGAGGCAGGAATCAGCCTCACCTTGCAGTTTTGGATCAGATTTCTTTGGCACCAAGCTAATTGCTCAAACTATTAGGTTATCCAAAGGTCTGTGAGAGAAGAGGCCTGCTATGCATCCTAATTGAATTTCTCTGACAATATTTGGGTGAGCATTAGCAGAGTTAAGATTACTGTCGAGGGACATGGTCATATTATGACAGGGATCTTCAACTATCTTGGAATGATGGTGATTTCCCATGCATTCAACCCATGGAAAGACAAGTTGCATCACTCATTGGTGCAGGTTCCTATGGACATCACCACGGTAAAAGCTTATCTCCAAGGACATGAGGGAACAAAGTTACAAGGTTTGTTGAAGGAGACTATATGTTTATTGGGCTTGGCACACACGATCGATAGCAGATTGGAAGCCGGCCAATATCCACTTCCACTATCAACATTATGATCTACTTTGTCAGCCCAAATCAGACATATTTTACAGCAGCCTACACAACCATCACCTACAACTAAACATATGTATGTAACTGTCTCCATGATGACATATTTCTTGCTCCATCTCTGATTTTCTACATGGGACAATAGAAGGAAATATTCAACTTAGGCATCTTTCCCCTGTCCTAGAATTGAATCCTCAAGGATATAAAACACCACATATATTCCCAAAGTGCAACCTGTCGATGATACTGTTAGCATTATGGCTGCACCCACCACAAAGAGTTTATGAATAAGCGACTGTACTACAGGCATTGAAGAACTGCAGCTAAAGTTTAAGAGCAAGACCCAATTGACTTCTCCCTCACTCATGCAACAGATTGGAGTAGAATTGATAGTACCAGAGTTCATTGCCAGGACTACTTCCACCAATGGACTGTTGACAGATGATATGGAAATTTAGGGGAGGCCAGCATTTGCTCTGTGACTGGATGTCTCTTCTCAAAGTTCTTAACCAGTCTGCAGGATCTTCAGCCATTCCAGTTGTGGATAAGATCTATGTGTTCTTCACCTCTCTAAACACCTCGCTCATCAGAGGGTGTCACTCAGTCCCTCCTTTGGTGAAGAGCTCACCTGCTCTGTAACAGGCAGGCAGATGGCCTTGGATCAGTCTTGGCTTCATCTCAGAGATGATGGCACTTATCCACTCAAATCAGCAATAGTCATCTTTACATCTCTCCTCAATGACCTTTTTACACTCTAGTTTCCAGATCAATAGGCCTTTGCAGTCAGTTGTGTAACAGAAACTGTGTGAGTATGCTTATCCTCTGCTGGTTCTCATTTCAACTGGTTTGACAAGGTCATAGCTGCACCAATGCCTACCTTGTAGCTCTGGCCTGGCCCAACAATAGCTGATAACTGG